TTCCTTCCTTCCTTCCTTCCTTCCTTCCTTCCTTCCTTCCTTTCTTCCTTCCCTCCTTCCTTCCTTCCTTCCTTCCTTCCCTCCCTCTCAGTGGTTAGAATGCAGTATTGCAGCCTAACTCTGCCCACTGCCAGGAATTCGATCCTGACCGGCTCAAGGTCAACTCAGCTTTCCATCCTTCCGAGGTGGGTCAAATAAGGACCCAAATTGTTGGGGAGCGATAGGCTGACTCTATAAACCGCTTAGAAAGCGGCTGTAAAGCATTGTAAAGCAGTATATAAGTCTAAGTGCTATTGTGATATAAGTGACAAAGTTATTCTAAGTCTAATCGGCTTATACTAAAATGAAATTTCATTGCATACAGCTCTCAAAGGGTCACCACCTCCAATCTACACTACTAAATAAAATAAATGACAAAATAAATGAATAAAAAATTGTGTATACACCCACATATATTATACGACACAGAGAAACAACACTGTTTTCAGTTAACTAAGCCTCCATGTTCCAGGGCAGCCTATCTCCAAATCTCAACTGCTGAGAAGTGAATGTAAGCAAAGGGTGTATGTGTGTATATGTCTCTCATTATTTCCTCAAAATGTCCAATCCCAGAGAAACGGATCGTAAACCTGCCTTGTTTCTCCCCAAATCCTCTTTTCTCACCTGAGATGCCAGAAAAGGAAATGGCCGATCTTCCGGTTGGATAAGGCCCTGCCCAGAAGGAACCTGGTTAATTCACAGTCTAAGTATGACTGGTATTTCAAAACTTGAACCAGCTGTAGGAGATACTGGAACAATTCGGCATCCCTGAGGAAGGAAGAGCAGAGGGTTAATCGATGGCCTCCTCGGTTGCATCGTTGTGGCCTGCCAGCGGCCAGCAGAGCTGGCATAAGAGTCAGACAGTGAGGAGGTTGGGGAGGAGCATGGGCCAGTCCTGGAGTCTGGGGAAGGCTTGGACGAGGGCTCTGCATCAGAGGCAGAGATGAGGCCGAGGCCATCGGGCAGTGATCAGGTGCCTACGGAGCTACACAGCAGTGGGGCAGAGGAACAGCTGGAGCCTGTTCCCAGTGTGCGCATGNTGTGTTGGCTTTTTTGGCAGCTGCTGCACACGGCTGGCTCCTATTTAAACGGTTGTCCACTAGGACTCCAAGATCCCATCTCACAGTTACTACTATTGAGCGAGGTGCCACATATACTGTACCTGTGACGGGCTCACCTCCCTTTTAACTTAAGAAAAACACCGAACGCCAATCCAGAGGGGGAGGCTTCCTCTTAAACCTGCCTTGCAGTGGAAGGAGTAAGTGAATTCATCCCAGGGGAAGGAAACTGTGCGTGAGGATATCTAGCCTGACCCCTTGTACACAGTATCTTGCTAACCCAAAACTGGGTTTGTTGCTCGCTCGCTCTCTCTTACCGTCCCCGTTTTTGAATATCAGGCCGGTGCCGTTTCCTCCTGCCTCTCCGTTGCTAAACATAATCCATAGCGGCTTCATCTTGGAATCCATGACGGTGCAAAGCTCTACGCTGAAAAGAGACACACACAAAATGGGTGGGTGGGTGGGTGTGACACACAACTCAAGTCCCTTGTTGAAAGGGAGAGAAAAAAAATCCTTACCGCTCCTTAAACCGAAGAACTGACCTAAACACACACATGCACACACTAACTTTTAAGTAAAATCAGCATTTGTCTACCTTGGCAATTTTAAGGTGTATGTGTGTGTGTGTGTGTGTGTATTTAAATTCCCAGAATTCCCCAGCTGGGTTGGCAGGAATAACAGAATACTTCATTGGCGACCTTCCTTAAAAAGCAAGAAGCAGACTCTGGGCCCCGGCAAAACCCCTTTTATTTACATGACTGTGAATTCCTTTCATTCACAGTCTGCAAGGCTTGGCAAACAGTCTTTCAGAGGAATGTTTATCCACACGAACCTTATCTCACTTGGCGAGCTGCCAGAGCAGTTCCACTAGTTTCCAAACTCAAGGCAAGACAAAACTTGGCTTCTTATAGTCACAAACAGAACTTTCCACTCTTGAAACGACCGAAGGAAAGTATTGTTTCCTGCAAAAGTCCCCTCCCCGTTCGCTCCACTTTTGTTTCCTATGGGAGGAGCCAATCACCTCCAAGGTGTGGCTTTACTCCCAAGTCAACCCTGCTTTCTTAGTTGTTCTGATCTGTCAGCTCTGCGCATGCGCACACTGGGAACAGGCTCCAGCTGTTCCTCTGACTCACTGCTGCCTATCTCCCTCTCTGCCTCCGACGCAGAGCCCTCGTCTGAGCTTCCCTCAGCCCCCAGGACTGGCCCATG